CCCCAACTACGATGTGCCCTGGCCTGGTTATATTATCTTATGATATTGACTATACATACTGACTGTACTAATTAAAGGAAAACTTTTTGTAAAAAGTTACGAACCAGCCATGTTGAACTTGAACGGAGGGCGTCCGCCTTTTTTCGTAGTTCCATCACTTTCTTCTTCGACAGCCGAAGTTGCATTGGAATCTTCTTTCGAATCTGGAGCAGTCGATGCCGTGTCTTCGGCTTCCGTCTAGAATAGAAAGGTCCAATAGATTAACGATGAAACTTCTAGCTTTACAGCTGATTTACATTGAGATTTACCTTCACCGATTCTGGTGCTTCAGTAGGAACTTCACTGCTATCTTCTTTTCGATCTTCTGGAGCAACACTCTGTTCCCGGCTGCTGGCTTTTGATGACGACGTGGTCTTCACCGCGCTTGCACCGGCTGCTTCCAAAACTTTCGTACGCATCTCTGGCATCGACCACTCACCATTCACTTGTTCGAATTCCTGAACAGTCGGTTTCACACTAATCCTATTCCTTCAGAAAGAAATTCATGGCTTATTACGCACCTGAACCTTTTTCCGAATAAGGCTCATTATTCCAATACGAGTAAGCACGTGCTGCCTATTAAGTCCCTCTCTCGGAACTCCGTCATTGAACGTTTCCTGACTGTCTGCGCCAGGCTCACACAAGTGTCGCATGAACAGGACGTATACGTCTTGAACGCTCTCTCCGATTTCCCTTTCAGATCACGGGTCTGAAGCTGAGCCATTACCAGTTACGAAGAATATCGTTATAACAATTCACTTACAAGCCACTGTGATTGATAAGCATCTTGTGGAGGCATTCCCCAGCGCATAACTGCATTGTAGAATGCTCGACGCTGCCTGGGATTGAAACCAAGGACTTCCAGTTGGCCATTGACCTGAAAATGAGTCGTGAAAGTGCTAGAGAAGTACTATGTCATGAATGCAATAACTACTTTTGCAAGGAGTGGTGGGAGCTTCTCAGCATCACGTTCTCGTTTTTTCTTCTTCTCTCCTCCAATGCCTTCGAAGTCATCGTCAGAGTGTTCACCTGACGCCTTCTCGGAACCACCGTCATACGAAGAGAGGTCATCGTCATCGTTGTTTTGCTGCTAAAAGGCAACATATAGTGTAGTGCAGCAGAGGAAATTTATATCGAAAACAACCTCTCCAGCGCGATTTCTGCCAATCCTGACCCATGTTTTCGCTTGCATAGTTGACCTGCTTGCGCAGCCTCTTGCCTTTGCCGAGTTTCTGAGCTTCCATCTCTTGGTCTTGCTCATAATGGTGTCGAAGAAGCTTCTCCCAATAGTCGGGATCAGGCTCCTTATCGTTGTCCTTGATAACCTTGAATATGAACGAGGCCTTCTCCATTATGTATCAAAAGTTATTGACAGCCGGTAAATCTATAGTACTGTTGCTCTTACCTCCATTTCTTCCTCTTCCTCTTCTTCTTTGTCGTCAGTTTCCCTCGTGGTATACGTCGCCACTTTGAATGAACTGAGGTATTCGTTGGTCCAATGCTCCTTTTTCTCGCCATCTTTGTCCTCAAAACCTACCATTACTCAAAGGCATACGATGGCTAGGGGCGGGCGGTTGCGGCTAATCGTTGGTGGAAGGACGGAGTAAACGCCCTCTCCACCAAAAACGCTGGCGAATACCGCCCGCCTCTAGCATTGCGGCCCACTGCCTTTTGACACAGTAAGCATATTAACATGATACGCCAAGTCCCCTCTCCATTGACTGAATGTCTAATAAAGGAACATCAACAGGCGCAAAAAAAATCAAAATGTATCCTGTAAGCATGCCTTTGGATCGGTGTCTCTGTCTCTGTCTAGTAGAGCTTCAACAGCAGCATCATCCCAAACGATTTCATTCTCGTTCGCTTTCTTCCCAGGTTCGCCTTCAGTTGGCTCTCCTTGTGGTGGTTCATCATCTTTGAACAATTCTTCCGTACCCCATCTGTAATATTTCAGCTCTAAATTTACGGCAAACAAAAGATCATACAGCCAATAGCCTGGCATAGACCGAGCTAAACCGCACCCACGGCGGGTGAATGCACCAAGAGGACAGAGGCATAAGCGCAAAAAAAAACATTCGAGCAATAGCTACACTGATAAAATGAATGGACGCTTCCCCCTTCGGTACAACATACCCTAAACCGGCGGCGCATGCTACAAAAATCAATGAGACAATTCTGACAAGGATTTTGATAGGGCAGGAGAAGGAAAAAAATTGATGAAGCTCAATATCTCAGGTAAGCTGAGCGTGTCTGTCGTGTGCGGCATTTCCTCTGTAAGGGGCGTGCCCCAACGATCTGCTATGAGCTCACGTCAATACAGATATTTTCTATGTGGGAGGTGGACAAGCGCGTAGCTACGAAGTAAGCCACTTTCATCAGCCGGAAGTACGAGAAAATGAAGCTGGGCGGGTTCTGATAGCTGGATGCCGTTTCTGACCACACCCGTATTTCACAACGTGCAGCACAATGTGCGTCGATGATGACGTCCCGCAGCGAACTACATCAACGCCAAGCTGCCTATCCTGATCATTTGTAGAGAAAAACGGGCGTGAGAGGGCGCAGAAAAATAGCGCGCTCGGCCGCAGTTGGAGGCCCGCCTGGTGGTGCGGCGCGTTGCGTCTTCTGCCTTCGGGTGAAGTCCGAAACGGCATCCGGCTATCACTCAATGGAGCCTCACTTCGTCGCGCTCTCCAGTAAAGAAACTGACACACTTCTTCAGCTGCGGACTCATTCATCTGTCGTATTGCAAAGGTCAGAATGCTCGAGGATGAATGAATAGCGTATCCTTAAAGGCAGTTGGCACGATGATTTGGTGCTCGGCCTAAAATGCTAGTAGGGCGCTATATAGTGGGGAAATGGCGAAAGAACGGAGTGAAACGGTCAAAATCCTGCGAAGAAAGAGCCTCCGTTCTCAATGTGTTAGAAATCAATTTTGGACGAGTTTCCTGTAGGCATCTTGCCAATAACCGCTACCGAAGGTACGGCTGCATATGTGTACTCATATATCCATGCAGCATCACGGCCGCTTCATACCCTTCGCTTCATAATTTGCTTAGCAAATGAATCGATTAGAGCGTCAGGAACGGTCGTCCATTTGTGGGCGGGCGGGCGTGGCGGGCGTTTGGGTCGGTATGTTGTGGCTTGATAGGGCCCTTATAAGGGCACCTAAAGGCATTATGCAGCGCCTGCTCAGGGCTGGCGGAACCCTGCCAGGCGCATTAATACTACTCGTCTCGGGGGATTCGTGCCAACCTGCCTTTAAGCAGGAGGAGTTATGTCAAGAAGTTCGAAGGATGATTCTCCACCGCATGATACATCGCAATAACTTTGTTGAAAATTGTCAGAAATGAAAACTACTCACCTCAGCACATCATCCAATTCTGATTTACTCATACTAGGCCCCTTTTGGCCAAGACCGGCTCGTACTACCAAATGAGTGAGCAACATCTTCTTTTTCGCAACCGAAGTGATTCGTTCTTCCACGGAATTTCTAGTTACGAAACGGTAAATCATCACTTTGTTCTGTTGTCCAATTCGATGAGCTCGAGAAAATGCCTGGAGTGAGTTCATGCGCAGATATTGATTGGAAGGACATTATGGTTTCAACAGAACAACATATTACCTGAATATCATTATGGGGGTTCCAATCTGAGTCATAAATAATTACAGTATCAGCTGTTGCAAGATTAATACCGAGGCCACCAGCTCGAGTAGAAAGGAGGAAGACGAACTGTTGCGCGCCGGGAGCTAAAACTGACCAAGCTAGTATATGTTCTCTAATAGTTTACAAGAATGGAAGCGTACCATTGAACCTATCAATAGCATCCTGTCTTGCTTGACCAGTTATAGATCCATCAATCCTTTCATACTTGTAACCCTCGACCTCACAGAAGTCTTCCAGAATATCCAACATCCTGGGAAGATTCAGTTGCCTTTGAATTACTGAAACTATGGATAAAAACACTTACATTGTCATTTGGGAGAATATCAATACACGATGACCACTTTCTCTCAGTTTCCTCATCATTTTCTGCAGCAAAACAAATTTGCCAGCATTTTTGATCAGTTGTGTCCCCTCATACCTGAACAGCAATGAAGATAAATATGATAGATTGGGGAATATACAACGGTAAATGACTTACATCCCATTCTTGAGCTTTGGTGCTTCCATACTGGCTTTGGCGAATAGGTAAGGATGGTTGCAACACTTTTTCAACTCCATGATAATGTTGATCAGAGACATTTGCGATCCACCGTTTTTGACATTCAGAGCGTCAAAGTTACGAGTCAGGATGTTCTTGTAGTACTTCCTAGGAATTTGCAGCACATTACCCACTATTTGGAAGGTAACAAAGGAAACCTCGAGACCCTTAAGCTAATCAGCGACTTTGCTGCTACATCATTAGCAGCCTATTTGTTTGAACTATCAAGCTGACCAATAACATCTCAAGTACAGATGACACCGAGTCACTTGTGAAATAACAACAATTCTGTCATATTGAAAATGTTGAATCATGGGCAAAATGCGACTACAGGCGAGACTCGCACCCGCACTTCACGCTTTCCGGACGAATGCGCTAACTCACTTCACGCCACCAGGGCTTCATTCCTTCGCGAAGCGATTTTTTTTGCATTCTTGGGCGAAGCACGTACTACACTGCTCTGCGGGTGGGTCTTGGCGCGTCGCCAGCCCCTTTCTCACCACTTATTGAATGCCCGAAGCCGCCAAAAAAACGGAGGAGAATGGGCTAGCGCCGCGCCAAAATCCAGCCGCCGCTGACACGCCCCGACTAACGTTCGTGATAATGATGTATATTACACATACGATACCCTTAAAGTTCCATTTACACTAGTTTTTGACACAATTCACCATAAAGAGGTATGAGGAAGGGGTATAGGTCGTACAAAGTAAGCAAGTTATCAAGATGAATATCAAACATACTTCTGTAGAGAACTGAGTTCGACTCGGACAATGAGTTCACTCTTGGAGGGCATCCCTGTGAGCACGTCAGCTTTGAGACGACGTAACATATGAGGACCCAGCAATGAATGTAGCTTCTGAATCTGATCCTCTTTGGAGATTTCGGCAAATTCCAGAGTGAAGGACTCCAAGTCGCTGAAAAACTTCTCACATAATTTTGTAACACAAAAGCAAAGTAGTACAGCTTGTGCCAATTGCCCAATGAAGTCTAAACAGAGAAGCAGCCCCGGCAAGCAGTAATCTAGGGAGCAACAGAAGCACAACTGTAGGAAACGAAACCCGCAACCTAATCAGACTTGACTAGCATTGTAACCATTGATTAGGCTAGGCTCCATGTATGAGCTAGTGGGATCCTTTCTTCACAGCCAGGTGATCGCAGAACGTCAGTTGAGACGCCCATCGAGTGGTTCCGCTCCGGTTCCGTTCAAGATAGAATTCTTTTACAAAAAGATTTTGACAAATCGAAACACTTACAAGAAACGGTCTGGAGCCAAGAAGTTGAGCAAATGGAATAACTCCTCGAGGTTGTTTTGTAGTGGTGTACCAGTCAACAGTAAGCGGTAATTAATGTTGTATTCACTGAAAAATCCTTTATTAAGCACAATACACAATAAAGTGATGAGGCAACCTACCGAAGATTCTTGAAAAACGTAGATTGATTATTCTTCAAGCGATGAGCTTCATCAACGACAAGAGCTTCCCATTCAATAGAAGACAAAATCGCCTGAAGGTAGGATGGATAGGCATGAGCGATTTGGCTGACCACTGTATCAAAGCTTTTCGGGCTGTTTTAAGAAGGATCAAGGAAAGAGCAGACTCCAAAGCACTCTTTGAGCTATTTCCAGAAAATGGGGGCGAATGATTAGAGAAAGCAAAGGGGAACTGTTGGCTCAGGTCAGAGCGATTGTCAAGGGATCACTGCTTCCACTTGAGAAGCCTATGCTGGTCCACACCCCACACAGGAATTGGCATACATCCACTTTTTTCCAAGATATGTCAATGAGTAAGAGGGATAGGACATGAGGATGGCCGTTATTTCTATACTTTTGAGGCTACGGAAAGCCAATGTACCTTATCCATATTGATGCACTCATACGAAGTAAGAAGAACGTGGAATTTCATGTTTTCCTGTGATCGCATCCGTGAAGCTTTTGGACCTCCCTGAAAAGATTGCATTGGTCAAAACGACTTGACTGGTTACCAACGATCCAGTCTTTTCTCACCTTCACAGCTCCTTCCACAAAGGAGAACTCATGCTCTCTAATGACCATTCTCGAATCACGATCGCCCACATACGTCACAACGTAGAAGTCTGGACACCACTGCTCCGCCTCACGCTCCCAGTTGATGATTGTTGAGAGAGGCGCAGCAATCTAAGGTGGGTAACACGTAAGCAATGAAGACATGATAGTCGCTAACCCACTGCGTTCAGACTTTGCGGAAGCGCAAAGCAGCGTACGGTAGCGTTTTGAGCGAACGATAGCAGCAGCGATTAGGAAAGTATAGATATCGATTAAGCAAATGCCCAGTAGCGTTTGCCAGCGTACAGCGTGTATAGGAATGGAAAATATTGGGAGGCGGGAGGATAGGAGACTGTTGGACTGGGGTGATGTGAACTTGCGGCCAGTGCGACCGCCGTACAAGCACAGGACTACGCAGTCTTGACGCATGGTGTGGCTGCATACGCCGAAACTTCTGGACGCTGCTGTACGCTGACGTTCGCTAGATCGATATCTATACTTCCTCAGTCGCTGGCGCTTGCTTTCGCTCGAGACGCTGCCGTACGCTGGTGGACGCTGCAGAAAAGTATGAATGCAGCCTTACACCTGAATGAAAAAAATGTGACGTACAATGAAAGGCCCTTTCGAATGGCCTTCCTTCAGCAAAGAATATAGGAAAGTGAGCGACTGAACCGTTTTACCGAGACCCATTTCGTCAGCAAGAATAGCGTCAGTGCCATTGGACCAACAGTGCCGTAACCAGTTAATGCCTTAAGAGTACCTTGATTCTTTTTGTTCTTTTCTTCAGCTTATGTATGAGATAAATTGGGCAAATCATTTACTGAAAAGCTCAGTATAGTGAAAGAATGGCACCTTCAAGTTGGTAGGGATGAAGAGTTCCGCCAGTTTCTGAGATGTAATCAGGCTGCACTTCGTACTTCTTCCGGATCTGAAGCTTCAACTGATTTCCGCAGAAAAACGCACGCTGAAGAAGTAGCTGTCAGAAACTTACGTCAACGAGGGGCTTATCACGTTTCTTCTTCTTGTTTAGCTGATCATCAGTACTCTCAAGAGGCGGGAGCCCTTTCTTCTCTCTCTGAGCAGCAATTTTCTTGGCGATATGCTTAGGAATTGGTTCGCCAAGCATTTTCTCTCTGGAACTCGGAACTATACGATTACAACCAGACCTCTCAGGAAGGCAGCTCTGAAAATCTTCTGCTTACCTGTGTATCCAATACTTGTTTATGGCATCTTCATAGTAAGCAATATCCATATCATCTCTTTCCCAGGTGGCTTGCTCGTATGCGAGTTCCTTCCATTTCACGAGATAATCAAACTGGGTTTTCCCGTACTGCATATGATTTATAATCCGGTGGACCTTTAAAGTTTAGGTTTTCCGAAGGAACATCATTTACTCTGCAACATAGGGAGATAGTCAAAAAACAAAATACCTGCATCCATTCTGGTTTTATGCCGTATTGGTAGAATTTCTCACGCAGCTCGTAAGGATCATTATCCTTGTGGTGCCGCTGGGCTGTCGATTCGTCAAAGATGGGTGGATTTTCACTATCATACTTTCGCCAGTACATTCGAAATAGGATGGCTGTTAAAACTGAGATCAACAGATGAAGGATACATAAGTCATCAGGAAGAAAACATACCGCTGTGAAGTACACATCCATCAACGTCTCGCTGACCCATTCGCAATGCCAATATGACATATACCTCCATTTGATGAAGAACTCCCTCTCTCTACGTGGTTCCATCTTGCGTGGTGGACGGAGCAGAATAGCGTCCTGATAAAAGTTCACAGTAAGTTGCAGTCTGAATGTTGAAACGAAGAGAGGCACTGAAAATTCAATTGCCAAAGACTCCAGATAACCACAAGGATCGAAAAGTTTTTGCAAAAAAGATCATTTTTATTCCTTCCCTCAAGATATTTCTGTGCTTTGCACATTCCGCAGCGTTCTGAAATACTGCAATTGGGAAATGGTCTGTTGAGCAGCGCCTCCCGCAAGGGTAGCTTCTCCACACCAGCGGATGCAGGGTCCAGGTCAATTGGAGGCAGCACTTCAACAGCAGGGTCCAGTCCATTTCCCTAGCTGCAGTATCTCAGAAGGTGCTAAGCACCGAATGTTCGAAGGAAGAAATGAAAATAAATTCGGTACTATTTACCCTTCACTGCCCCAGTCATCCGAAATCAGGCCAGTTCCTGACCGACTTTTTTCTCCGTGGGCAGAATTTGCTGAAAACTTGCTCCCAGGGGTAGTTTGACCCCCTGAACACGAATATCACATCCGCTCAACACGAAACCTCCTGGCGCCTCGCGCTACAGGCGCTGGCGCCAAAATACCCCAAATCACCGGCGCCTGTGGCGCGGGCGCCAGGAAGTTTCGGGCTAAGCGAATGTGATATTCGTATTCAGGAGGTCAAACTACCCCAGGAGACAACATTTGAGCCAAATCTGTCCACGGAGAAAAAAGTCGGTCAAAAACTGGCTCAATTCTGGATGGTTGGGGCAGTAAAGGGTAAATAGTGCCATAAATTTTAATTTCTTTGGCAGAAACTTTTGGATCCTTCTGGGTAATTGGAATCTTTTGCAATGAAGTTTTTATTTTTTCAATTTTCAAGACTCCTGGACAGCACAGTGCTCCAATAAGCTGCAGTGTTGAGAAGTACACCACATTGTGCATACTCACCTTATCCTGTACTTGATCAGGATTCGCTTCAATGGGATCCGGATATGGAATTTCTATCCACCTCCAGCAAAGGATTTTCTCTGGTCGCTGTTTTGGTTCTGGTATAGTACATCTCGGACAAAGCCACTCGTCTTCGGGTACCTAGCGAAAACATTGAAAAACATGAAAAGTAGAGAACATGTAGTTATGCTACCTCTTCAAGGGGTGGATTGACACAGTAGGCGTGGAATGAGCTGGGGCAATTATCACAACAGAGGAGTGATCCCGTACCCTGAATTTTCACTAATATTTTGGAAAAATTGTGAATAACGTGGCTGGAAAAAGAAGCAGAGAAAAGAAAGTGATATACCTTGCAGACTCGACAGTACTCCATATTGATTTTCACCGGCTCTTCGTCTTTCGGTGGAGGCGGAGGACCATGCTCTTCACAGTGAGGGCAACTCCACTCACCTTCAGGCGCTTGTTCCATTTCAGAATCCACGCAGACAGTATGGTAGGCTCGGGGACAGGTATCACAAAGGATTATCTCGCCCCCTTGTCTGCATACCTCACAGTAATCCTGGTGTTCCATCTGAATAGTAAGAAGTCGTTTAGAAACGATCCCTGCCACAAAACTATTATGACTACCCACCTCTTCCTCTTCGCCCCTGGCTCGCTTAGCTTTTCTGGAAGCTTGTGCTTTCTCAAGAGCTTGTTTCTTCCTATCCGCACGCTGCGCAGCACTGAAATACGGGAACTACCATAGGTAGGATCTGCATAAACAAGAAGTGGCTACAAACCGGCTAGCTTTTTTCTCTTCCTTCTCCTTGTCCTCTTCATCCTCTCCATCAAAGCTGGAGGGTGTTTCGTGCTGTTATAGAGAGATTCGAAATTCTTTTGGGTCTAGCTATCAGCTGTACAGTAACATTCGATAAATCGAAAGGGCACCATCAAGGACCTAAACATGAACACCAGATTTTCTATAATACGAAGAGGAGTCCTCTAACGAGCTAGGAAGTTTGGGATAGGAAGAGAGACAAAACTAGAGGCAGAATGTCAGGAAAACGTGAAACTGAGAGTAGGAGGGGGGCTGGGCGGGGGGGGGGGGGGTGGGGGAGGGGGGGGGGCACATGAGGGTTGAATTAAGTCTTGAATGTTGGGCTGTGTTCAGACTGCTACGGGAGGACAAAGCACAGGAAGCTGGAGAATAGTAAAACGCGAAAACCAAGAATGCAGGGGTATCGACCTTGTGTTTTGGGAGTGAACAGGTTGGCGAGAATCGGCGTTTCCCGAAGAATGTGCGCGCAGAAGTAGTGATCAGTACTAATGCGACTCCCACCTGTCAGATTCATTTTCTTAACTTTTCATTGCTTTCTGCAGATCCTCTCTCTTCCTATCATACACACCGGTGGCCAGAATGGCCGTCGATACACTTCCTCGGCGGTCATTTTACAAACGGGACTGCGTAGCGAGTCTCCTTGCGTCCTCCCAACGCAAGATCATACTTATCTAATCTCCTCTTTGCTTTCCCACTCCTACCTTCGTCCGAACATCTTGTCCGTCCGCCGCAACGTATGACAGCGGCCTTATAATGCTAGTCGATACTTTCCTATGCGCCCAGTAAATATTCTCAGCCTGAGCACGATAGTAAAAATGAAACCATCAACGGGCTGCTCCATACAAGCTAGTTTCAGGTCGAACTATCCCAGAATATCGCTGCTATCCCCAACTACTTGGACTCTTCCTATAAGCTAGCCTCCCAATCTATCTTTGAAATCGAACATCGTGCAAGGCAACGGAACTAGTTGGAGCATTTTTTGAACTTCGTACTGTGCGTCGGACGCTTCGAGCGTACCCAAGCTCCTCGAGGGACAAGGGAAGTATAGGTATCGATTTGCGAACGTCAGCGTATGCCTGCGCACAGCACAAGCCACTCTGTTCAGGTGTGAAGGTGCCCGCAAGGACGCTGATGTAAGCTGGTGGGTGCTGGCGTTTGCAGATCGAGACCTAGACACTCCTGGCCTCTTGGAACGCTGGCGTCCGCTAGGTCGATATCCACTTTCTTAGTTGCTGACGCTGGAGTACGCTGACGCAACGTAGGAACGCGGCCTTAGGCTCTCGTACCAATCAGTAAATTTGTCAAATTCGACAGAAAAACTTCGGGTTAGACATCAGCTGGCCCTCAAAAGTCAATGTAGCCCCGACCAGCCGTTGGAAAACGCTACGTTCTGGAAGGCGTGGAGTGCATGACTTGAAGATAAGACAACGCCAAGCGATTCATCTTAACCATGTAAGATCATCGACTACGATTGAGGTACCATAAAGTATAACGAACCGCCTTCTTCATCCGAATCGTTCCTTCGCTTTTTACGTGCGGAAATACGAATCTTTATGGGAGCTACGAGTTTATCTTGCTCGGTAGGTAGAGGTTTTGGCCTGAAAACAAAACGACCAACGGATAAGCACCTCCCAAAATTAGCAGAAATTTAGGATAGTGAAAACGAACTGCTTGGATGGCTTCTTCACAGCTTGTGTACGACCCTGAGCAGCAAGATCTTCTTGAAATTCGCGATATTTCACTTGGATCAAAGGATAGACTTTCGTGGCATTACACTTTGGATTCGCTTCCAGAATAGCCGGCCGCACTCGATGGATGAAACCCTGAAGAAAATAGCTTGACGGCAATGCCACTGGGGGAGCAAACGATCAGATAAATTACCTTTAGACTAGTGATTGTAGTATAGTCCTCTTCGTTGTATTCGATAGTGACATCTTGAATATCGAGAGCTGTGCACATTTCTGCTGAGGACGCTGTTGCCGGGTCTGGATATTCCGATCTCCTTCTACTTCCTTTGGATTTGCGTCCTCGACTCATCTTCTTACTCTTTTTAGTCTTTTCTGCAAATCGCTCTCAATTGATGAAGAACAATCACGTTGTTTCAGCGCAACAACTGCTGTTTTCAACTGTCAATCTCAGTCGGTTTCGATATCATCACAAGAAAGCGAGTTATAGGCAAAGTCAGACCTCGGACGGGACTCGAACCCACATCTCCCGCTTACCGGCCTGTTTTGACATCCGTTACACTACCGCGGCCGCGCTTACCCTCTCAGCCCAATGACTTCGTTTAGACTTTTGCCCGTAACTCAGCCTTCTCGAATAATTTCGGAAGAATTACCACCGAATTCCTCCTGCTCTTCATCCATTCCGTCTACCATTTCGGCGTCATCCGGATCGTTCGTCAGCAGAGAGTCCTCCTCCATGGGCTCCTCTACAATTGATTTGAATTGAAAAAACCGAACATGATGTGCAATTTTCAGCTTTTCTCTTAACTGTCTCTGATAATCCGGGTTAGATTCTTGTGTTATTTGAGATCGATAGATGAACCTCTTTATTTACATGATCTGACAGTTCGATTGCAGCAGCTCCCCACTCCTCCCCCCTTTCTTTGCCACTGTGAAGCAAATTATCTCGAGGATCATTTTGTCTACCGTAGGCAATAATGCGAGTTCTTCTATCCAAAGCTGACTAAACTCGGCTCAGTGAAATGCCCTTCATCGTCAGGGACACGGTATCGATCGTCGTTAACTTAGCACCTGGCCCATATATGCAGATGTACACTAATCGCACCAGCGAACATGGATGTGCAAAAAGTCAATTAGAAAATTTTCATATTTTAACATACCTTCCACCATTTCTTCAGTTGTCTGCTCCATTTCTGCCATTTTGTGCCTTCACAAAATCACTGAAATAAATGAAAAATTGAAGAAGGAAATCCAGCGTGAATTTGAATTTTCGGCGGCAGTAATGAGTCAAGAGGAGATTTGAACAGCAAAGAAGAAAGAAACGGAAAGGAAAAAATAAGAAGGTGAAATACTCAGAAGGAGACCCTCAAAGTGCACCAAATCATCAGTTTCGCAGAAGTGACGCGGGAAATGACAGTGTCCCGCCGGAGCCGGGCGCGCCTGTCCCCAAGGAGCCAGCTCCGCCCCCTTCGGCCCGCGTAACAAGTAATTGCGGCGACTCGAGTGCTTGGTACGGGCCACAGCATTTCGGGCAGTGACGCGGCTGAACCCAGGCTGACCCCGGCTGTTTGTTCCCAGCTGTTGGACGCGTTGGGGGTTACAGGACTCCTCTCAACCGGGAGTCTCTTGCTGCGGTGGTCCAAAGGTATTTCTCATTGTATCCAGTGGTCCCATCAATTGGAAGGGAAGAAGGGCTAGTAAGTGGGAAGAGAAAAGGGAGCAAGGATGAGGGAGGTTCCGCGGTTGACAAGTATCTTGTGACGCGGTTTGGGCTACAAACCACATGAGAAAGTTTTTCAAAACAAGATTTCTCTCCAAATTCCGTCGACTGGGAGAGAGAGAGGGAGAGAGAGAGAGGGAGAGAGAGAGAGAGAGAGAGAGAGAGAGAGAGAGAGAGAGAGATCTGGACAAACATCCGGATTACGTAGGTCGTAAAACCATTACATTTCCAAGCCAAGCCAGATGGGGGACGAGTTGCTGGTTGGGTTTTACGAGTCTTCTCCCCCCCCCCACCTCGATGGGGAATGAGCGGTCTAGGAGCCCTGAGGGATTGTTATTTAAGGACGAGAACTTTTGGATTCGATCGCTTTCGCCATGGAAACCTCTCAATTTCACTCTGCCGAAGGGAACACCCTCCCATAGGCTTAGCAAGTTTAGCCGATGATTATCAGAAGTCCATCTCCTGCCCCCTCCCCTTGATTAAGAGCTCTAAAATCTACTGAATCACCAAAATTTTCCAGAAGCGAGGGATCCAAAGCGTTTCCTCGAAGGACTCGACTTTCCAGTGCTCAAGAGATTCTCCAGACAACACGTTTTTTGTGACCTTTTAATGCCAAAAAGGGGGTAATTCACGATAATTACTAGCAGTGAAAGGACCATCTCACCATTCGATTGATGACCACTGACGAGCTAATCCAGGGCACATCATTGGTTGGGGATTTTGGCCGAGTCAGTGCGACACCCTCCCCCCCCCTCCCGCCCTTAAAAGGTGGCTTGGTACCGATCCCATAATTCCCTCTTCTGATGCGATCGAGCCGTCGAGTGGGGGGGGGGGGTGTGGAGAGTGGGTATAGGGCATATATAAAACGGGAAAACCACGAGGAAAATACGACCTCCTCTCCCCCTCCCCCCTCTCTCCACCTTTCCCATCCTACCTACCACTTTCATAGATTTTCCCAACTTCCTACCACTTTTTCCAGTTTTTCCGGAATTTCCCAATAATTTACCTAATTTTCCCGGAACTTCGCTGTCTATCGAGAGGGGGGTATAAAGCGCACGAGAAAGGGGAAAAAATTTGAAAGTCGA